TGTCTGACTTAGCTCCTCCCCCCCTTTGCTGTCTGTCTTATGTGTGCACAAGCCCACATGTGTGTGCACTATTATACTTAACTCCGCTGTGTTCCATGTGGGTTGCTCACTTAATCTGACTTCCTCAGGAGACTGTATGCACCCTTACCCTGGGAAAAACAGAAGTTCTTGGATTTCCTTAGTTAAAGGAAGGAAAAGCCCCGATTCTGCTGAGTTTTAAGTTTGCCCAGTTTTATTAATTCTCAGGGGTTCCAGCATCGGTCTCGTGGTCTTTTTTCCTGTCTTAAAATCAGTCTCTTGCTGGACTAAGTTGGTGTCCATGTGTTATTTGGACCTGGAGGTGGGGAAGAAACGGTGACCTTGACAACTGAGAGACATGCATGGTGTGAATGCGCATGGCCCTGTGGCTCCTGGAGTTTGCTAAGCATTTGTGTAGTGTCAGGTACCTGGGCCTCATCTTTTGATTTAAGGGGTTTGGGGACTTACAGCCCCACCATTTTTGGAGTGCCTGAGATGGCAAAGCAGAGCACTTTAGTTTCAGAGATTCTGTTTGAATTGGCCACAGCCTCATGCCCCATATCTAGGTCAGCAACTTCTCTACCCTGAAGAGTGGATCTAGAAGTTTCATTGGAGGAACCATTTAAAAATAAGTGAGCAGGGTGCCTGGGTGGCTCAGTCGTTAAGCGTCTGCCTTCGGCTCAGGTCATGATACCAGGGTCCTGGGATCGAGTCCCACATCGGGCTCCCTCCTTGGGGGGAGGCCCACTTCTCCCTCTCCCACTCCCCCTGCTTGTGTTCCTTCTCTCGCTGTCTCTGTCAAATAAATAAATAAAATCTTTAAAAAAAAAAAAAAAAAGTGAGCAGTTTCTGCTATGTTCCACTGCCTAGACAAGGCTGGAAATCCAGCAGGTAAGATGCAGGGTGCACAGAGAGCCAGGCAACTTCATAGTAGGCCTGGAGGGGTGGTGAGCAAGGAGGACAAAGCCTGGTGACTTGGACTCTTGGTCTCATCTTTTCTTGGGTTCTTTGCCAGCAGCAGGAAGCTCAGCTGTGCATAGACCAGGTGATGGGGCACGTGTTCGCTGGTCTTTGAGGAAGCTGTTTAATGAACTCTCAGCTCTGTGACAGGGTCATCTGAAGCCAAGCTTAATCTCTGCCTTGCCCATAAGACAGTATTTAAGCAGCAGAAAGTGGGTGAAGGGAAGCTATGGAGTGTTGTCTTTATATTGCAAAGCTGAGACCTCAATGAATAGTCCAAACACCTTGATGCATCTTGAGGACTAAAGGGGTAGCATAAAAGTTAACCAGAAATCTCTCTTTTGCCGTGAAGAACCCAGACCCACAGCAGTCCTTAATGACTGCATCCCTGGGCTGATTAGATCTGATGGCTGGGATATGCTTGTGCTGGGTGTTTTGAAGTTGCCTGCAGAGTGTACTCTGCCTTCCAAAATGGTCCTTAGGACCTTCTCATTAGCCTCACTTTGAAGAATGCAATTATCTTTGTGTTAGAAATGTATCAGGAACATTTCTTCTGCCTAGTGTTGTTTAAGCATTTGTTGAGTCTAAGAACAAAGCCTAGCTGTGCTTGAGAGAAATTCACACTGTTTACAAGAGAAGGGTACATTTTAAAAAAACAACAGAAAGCTCCAAATGTTAAATTTACCCAGATTGCTATTCTCCTGCGTTATTTTAATTGTGGGTTTCAATGTCTAGCTAGTTAGTCTCTTCAAAAGACATTTCCGTTTTATTCTCTGGGACTCCTGGGCCCTTCATTGAGAAACACCATGGCTGAAAATCCACCCCTGGATTTGCCAGAGAACTGCTGTGATTTTGGAAGTGAGTAGTGGCGTCCTCTGACCTCTTGCTCACAACTGACTCCATTTGGCCAGGCCACCTTGCTGTTACAGACCGTGTCTCACTTAGAAAATGGGTTCTTTCTTATGAAGAAGGTCCCATGAATTAATAACTGCATCACCAGGAATGCTAAAAAAGCGGCCTAAATGCCGTGCATTGTTGTCAAGCTGTTCTTCCTGGTGGGTGGCTAGGTTAGTATTGTTTGAAAGGTTAGGATCCAGATATCAGCTCATCTCTTCTCCAGCTGTTGTTTATCCTCCCTTTTCCCAGAATAGTCGGGCACAAAGTCTTTTAAAAACAGATTTGCAGCTGCTTTACATTTTGGTGTGTAATAGTTAAGTCACTACTAATTTAGCCTCTCTTCACTGGCAGGGAATGTAGGTAGGGGACCAAAGAACATCGCATCCCTTGGAAGCAGTGGTGTGTAATATCGAATTTCTAATCGGCTCATCTCTACCCCTACCCACCTCATTCCACTGATTGAAGCCTGTTTACAAGGTCCACCAAAGGGTTGTTCAGGTTCTCAGCTCCCCAAGCAGTCCGCTTCATTTCTCTTATCTTTTTAAATATTACTTATTTTTTAATTAGGTAGTACATTTATATAGTATAAGATTCAGAAGGTGATAAAAGCCTGCAGTAAGAAGTCTCACCTCTGCCTTCCAGCCACTCGGACAATCAGCACTACCAATTTCTTAGGTAACCTTTCAGGTCACTGTATTCTCCCCACCCCCACCACCACCACCTTTGTTCTGTAGAAATGGTAGCGTCTATACTGTACATACTATTCTGTGCCTTGTTGAGTCATCTCAGCAGAATATGTTAGAGAAAGTTCAATAATAAGTGGCAGGTACACCAATGGGAGTGTTTCTAGAATTGACATCAGGATATAATCTAGTACGTCTCCTGGTGACCCCTAACCTGGCCACTCCCAAATGCTAAACATTGACACCCAAGCTCACTGCCAGACTTCACCAGTGGTGTCCCACAGATGGACAAGCCAGACCTTTTCTTTTTTTTTTTTAAAGATTTTATTTATTTATTGGAGAGAGAGAGAAAGCACAAGCGGCGGGAGTGGCAGGCAGAGGGAGAAGCAGGCTCCCCGCTGAGCAAGGAGCCCGATGTGGGACTTGATCCCAGGACCCTAGGATCATGACCTGAGCCGAAGGCAGACGCTTAACTGACTGAGCCACCCAGGCGTCCCAAGCCAGACCTTTTCCACTGTTGCCAAGCTCCATCTGTGTCTTCGGTTGCACGAACCAGAAACCAAGAAATCATCCTTGACACCTTGAGTTTCTCTCTAATCAGTGAACTTTCCTTCCTGCCCTCACCTACCTCCCTGGTCTCGGCCTTCTCAGTCTCTGTACTGGGTGACTTTACCAGTTTCCTCACTGTCTTTGGCATGTCCATTCTTTCCTCCCTCCAGGCTGTTGTCCACACACAGTGATCTTTTAAACCACATACCTGATCATGGTGTTTCCATGCTTAACACCTCTGGAGGCTTTCCTGGCACTCTTAAGACAAAGGCCAGACTGATGGTTGTGTCCACATGGCCTGATCCCTGCAGGCTTCACCAGGCCTGTTTTCACTCTCTGCAGTCCAGCACAGGAACCAGACTTGCCCAGCTTCATCTGCCAGAGTATTCTCTTTCTTTTCCTCTGTCTGGAATGCTATTCTCCTTTCACTATCTTTGACTCATCTTTCAGAACTCAGACTCCACCTCTCAAGCCTTCACTGTTCCCCTCCCGAGACTAGATCAGGGTCCCAGTTAAAGCTGACAACACCCAACTTTTCCTTCATTGTACTTATTAAGGTTGTAATTTCCACTTATGGAAATTTAACTGGGTTAACGTTTCTTTAAGTTCTTGTTATAGGTGTGAAATAGTTCCTGACACATACAAATTTTGTAAAGTAGGAAAGCTTCTAGAATAAAAAGTAGTAATTTTTTTAAATTCATGTTTATAGGGGCACCTGGGTGGCACAGTTGGTTGAGCGTCCGACCCTTGGTTTCAGCTCAAGTCCTGATCCTCAGGGTCATGGGATCAAGCCCCATGTCAGGCTTGGCACGGAGTCTGCTTGAGGTTCTCTCTCCTTCTCCCTCTGCTCCTCCTGCTCATGCACTCTCTCTCTCTCTCTCTCTCTCAGATATATAAGTAAATAAATCTTTTTTAAAAATTATGTTTATAAATGGGGTTAAGCTGTGGAGGTTGATATCTGTGTTTATGAGTAAGGGATGACTTAGGGGGTTGTCTCTCATAAGGACCCCTAATAATCCTAATCTAGACGATTCTTCAGTTCAGCAGATGTAATCTATGCCTGACCAACAATGGAACACTGAGCTCGGGGACTACAGAAATAAATGAGATCCAAACAGACCCTGCCCTCAAGCAGTTTACAGTATTTCATTTTTAAAAACCCAAGATCAGGGGCGCCTGGGTAGCTCACTTGGTTAAGCGTCTGCCTTTGGCTTGGATCTCAGGGTTCTGGGATCAAGCCCCACATCGGGCTCTCTGCTCAGTAGGGAGTTTGCTTCTCCCTCTCACTCTTCCTCTGTGCGCCTTCTCTCTCTCAAATGGATAAATAAAATCTTTAAAAAAGAAAAAAAAACTCAAGATCACATAAGTCTGTCTTCTGTGTTTTGTGGGTTTTTTTCAGGTGGCTCCTGGCATTTTAGAAGGCCTTTTACCAATTGGGTGATGAGGGCAACACTTTTTTTTCCGCTCTAAGGAGAAGAAAGTTTCTCCATGGTTTCTTCTCATGATTCTTATCTTCTCTCTTGAGGGACGTCTTTAGAAACATCCCTGCTAGGGGCGCCTGCGTAGCTCAGTCGTTAAGCGACTGCCTTCGGCTCAGGTCATGATCCTGGAGTCCCTGGATCGAGTCCCACGTCGGGCTCCCTGCTCAGCAGGGAGTCTGCTTCTTCCTCTGACCCTCCCCCCCCTCATGTGCTCTCTCTCTCGTTCTCTCTTTCTCAAATAAATAAAATCTTAAAAAAAAAAAAAAAGAAATATCCCTGCTAAAAGGGAGAGCCATCATCAGAAAAAAACTCAAGCCACATGAAGCTTGTTTTGCATTTCCTGTTGTTGAACAGAAACTTGTATGGTGTCTCCTCACCAGGAGCTGTCTTTGTGTCTCTCCTCTATCCCCAGGAAACCTGTAGGAAGTGTCAGGGACTCTGGAAAGAGCACAATGGCCTCACTTGTGAAGAGCTGGCTGAGAAAGATGACATCAAGTACCGAACCTCCATGTGAGTAACCTCCTTCAGGGGCTTGCGACTGGTTCTTAGCTCCCCCGTTAGCCTGCCCTTTGTCCGGGGAGGGCAGTGAGTGTTGTGGGAAGGACAAGCTCTCGGGCCACCCTGGTCTAGAGTAACCTCCGGAAGTGACCCTAACCCCCTCTGTTTGCTGGTCTCTTCAGCCTCATGGAGCTGGTCCTGGAGTCTGGTGTAATACAGTCAGTGCCGGTGCATGCGAATTCAGTAAATATTAGTCCTCTTCTCCTCAGGATCTGAACGAATAAGCAAATCACACATATTAACTAGATTAGATTGCACGAATGTTGCTTATATCCATGCTTCCTATAGGATACTGGTGGCCTGAGACATTAAGCAGCATTATAGTCTCCAGAATGCAGAATAATGCAGTCAGGAATAATAAGCACCATTACTGTTTAGCACTCCCTGTGTGGCTGAGCACTTTACAAATATTAACTCATTAAATACATTGGCTTAAATAATACAGAAGCCCATTTCTTTCTCCTATAATAGCCCAGCCTTACCAGGCAGATCTTTCCCATGAAGTCATTCCGAGACCAGGTTCCTTTATCACATTGCTTCACCATTCCCTAAGGTGCCGTTCTCATCTACATGATGGTGACGGGGTTGTAGCCACATTTACACTCTAGCCCATAGAAAAGGAGAAAGAGAAGAGCTGCCTGGCTGGCAGCTTTTAAGTTGTAAGGGGTGTGTGTGTGTGTGCGTGTGTATGCACGCGTGTACGTGTGTAAGTTGTAAGGGGTGTGTGTGTGTGTGTGTGTGTCTTCTCCTACCCTATTGGTCTAGACTGAGTGTGGCCACAACCTAGCTTCAAGGCAGACACCATGTGTAATCTCTAGCCGGGTGATTTTATGTCCAGCTTAAATTCAAAGGGTGAGGGGGCACCTGGGTGGCTCAGTCGTTAAGCGTCTGCCTTCGGCTCAGGTCATGATCCCAGGGTCCTGGGATCGAGCCCCGCATCAGGCTCCCTGCTCAGCGGGAAGCCTGCTTCTCCCTCTCCCACTCCCCCTGCTTGTGTTTCCTCTTTCACTGTGTTTCTCTCTGTCAAGTAAATAAAGAAAATCTTAAAAAAAAAAAATTCAAAGGGTGAGGAGTAGGTTTCATTACTAAGAGAATGAAGCGGGAAATGACTATTAGGGGCAGTTAACAGTCTTCCAGTGTCCACCACAAGTAGGTAATATTATCCTCGTTTTACAAAACGATACAACAGGCACAGAGCCCAAGAAACTTGCACGTGATCCTGCAGGTAGTAAGTGGCATAGCAGGATTTTAAATCTAAGCAAATGGTTTCCTAACTGTTCTGTACCACAAATTTGGTAGGCAAACTAATGACCCCCAAAGATGTCCCTGCCCTAATCTCTGGAACCTGTGAGCCTGTTACCTTATTATGGCCAAAGGGACTTTCCAGATGTGATTAAGGTTATGGACCTTGAGGTGGGGAGATGATCCTGGATTATCCAGGTAAACCCAGTCTAATCACATGACTCCTTAAAAACAGAGAGCTTTTCTCTGGTCAGATAGAGGTGTAGTGATGGACAGACCCTGATGCTGGCTTTGGAAATGGAGGAAGAAGGCCTTGAGTGGCCATTTCTAGAAACAGGGAACAACCTTCAGTTGGCAGCCAGTAAGAAAACAGGGATCTCAGTCCCACAGCCCCAAAGAATTCTGCTGACAGCCCACAGGAGTAGCAAATAGATTCTCTCCCAGAGTAGGTGACATAGCCCAGTGACACCTTGATTTTTGTCTGAGGAGACCTGTGCTGGACTTCTGACCTACAGAACTGTAAAAGAATGCATTTGTATTAGATTAAGCTAATAAAATTGTGGTCTGTTACAGCAGCAGTAGAAAACTAACACAAATTGGGGGGCCAGAAGTGGGGTGCTGCTGTAACAAATACCTAGAAATGTGGAAGTATGTTTGGAATTGGGCAATGGGTAGAGGCTGAAGCAATTTTGAAAAGCATGGTAGAAAAAAGCCTAGACTGCCTTGAACTAGTAAAAATAGGGATTTTAGAAACCTCCCCCTTGAGGACTCAGAAGCAAGTGAGGAGCATTATGGGCAAAGCCAAAATTGCCTTGGAGAATACCTGAATCCCCACAAACAGACTGCTTGTGGAGCTGTGGCTGTAAAGGTCTGCTGAGGAGGGCTCAGAAGTAAGCGCAGAGTGTGTTCTCGTTTCTGTGGCAGGAAGCTTAGCTGGTTCGTCTGCAGTTGTGCAGAAAGCAGAAGGTGTAGATGATGGGTCTGGACATGTAGCCTAGGAAACTTGTGGGCTGAGTGGTTGCGAGAGGAAAGTGTGAGCGGAAGGAGAGATTGAGGGGCAGGAACAGGATTTGGTTGTTTCTGAAACTCCCATCCTGCCCAGGTGACAAAAGACCCCAAAATTGAGACTTTAGCTGTCAGGAAAAGCATGCTCCTAGAGAGAAGATCAGGATGTGTTCCAAATGTCAAAGTCTTCGGTCAAGTAAAGGCTCTCAGGAGGTCAAGGGGGAACCCTTCAGATCCCTTCAGTCAGACCGAGAGAGCCTCTAGGAAGCTCAGGCATCACCCCTCAGCCATCTCAGCAGAAACCCGAAGTAGAGATGGGCTTGTCTAGGAACCAGCTGTGGATGAGAATGCTCGTATCAGCAGAAACACTGTCACCTTGGACTGAAAGACGCAGAGTATGGAAGGAACAAGTCCACCAGATGCCCAGAGTTCTAGAGTAAGGAAGTGGGTTGACTAAAAACTACTCTGCTGCAAACACACTACCTTTCTTGAGAAAAGGAAGGCTTACTCGGTAGCGCCATGACCACAGAGGGTTCTCAGATCTGAAATATAAGGGAGTTTGCCCAGCTGGATTTCTAAATTGATTATAAGTGATAACTCCTTTTTTTTCCTTCCATTTTCTCCCTTTTTGGCGAGGAAGTTGTCCCAGAATGGGTTATATCCAGAGTCTTCACCTGTACTTGATTTAGATGGTGGGATTTGGGACTCCGAGCAACACCATGGTATTTGAGACCTTGGGGGTCCTAGGTTGAGGTGACTGTAGGGATGTAGGGTGGATATGAATCTGGAGGCCGGAGGGCAGACTGTGGTGGGCAGAAGGTCCTAATCCCCAGAACCTGTGAGTATCTTTACCTGACATGGCGAAGGGACCTTGTAGAGGTGATTAAGTTTATGGCAACAGTCGATGACATACGTAGTAATCACACATGCCACTCCAGCTAGAAAAGTCTAGTGTTGCTTCCTCACATCTAGGCTTACCCTATCAGCCAGCCTTTATAATTTAGAGTGGCCACCAGCTGCCCAGTGGCATGGCCTTAAAGTGATGGTGGACATGTCCAAAATTACTCTTTCTTCAAAGTAGTCATCTTGTCAGGCAGTATACTTAGTCTAGCAGTTGAGCTATTGCCAAGAACACTCTAAATTTCTCATTTGGAGTTGTCTTTCAGCCAGTTTATGAACCATCTCCCAAAAAAATTTGCTTTTGTTACTGTGGACAAGTTACGTCTGGTTTGGATTGGGAGAAGCGGAGGTTTTCTGTTGTTGCTGCCTGAGCCTTTGTTCTGCCCCTACGAGTGATGTCTTACTGATAAAGTCAGTACAGATTGATTGTGTAATCACTCTGGATAGCTGTCGTTAAGAACTTTGAACAAATTTCTTAGTCATTCTGTGCCTCAGTTTCTTCATCTGTTAAGTACAGAGCATACTTGTGTCTATGTATTATGGAGATGAAACTGCCCAAGTGCCCAGAATGGTTCTTGCCACTGAAGTGTCCCATAAACATTCACGGTCGGTCGGTCGAAGCAGAAGGCCCTGATGTACAAACATGACACAAACCCTTCAACAGATAACTTCTTGCATTTAGGACTTCCTCAAGTTATATGTATTCTACTTACAGTTGGTGATGATTGCCCAACTCTATAAACCAGTTTTCCATGCCTCGTGGTCAGCCATTTGGACTACGCCCGCACTTGGTCACGGGCCCGGAGATGCCTCTTAGCAGGAGAGGAGTTGGTTCCTTTCGGAAGCAGGACCTCCATCCTCTGTCCTGTCCGTTCCCACTGGTGGCTCCATCCAGGGTCTCGGTCTGGGCCCTACTTAAACTTGGTGGCCTTTTGTACTGGCAATAGATGGAACAGAGAGGCACATCCAAGTGTGATTATACGTTAATTCCAAAATCCAGAAAGGCTTCCTAAGTGTCGGACTTCTTTCTTTGTGGTAGGTGATAGAAGACACGGTAACATGTGCTTAGCTTTGGAAGGTGTAGCCTGATACACACACCTGACCTCCAGACCACCAGAGGGTCATAGAGATTACAGACCCCTGTATCTTCAAGGGATTTACCTCCCGTCTTCTGGCAAGCATATACCACATTACTGTACCCTAGAGTACCTGCTACTCTGTGCACCCAGGTTCTATCTGCATGTCATTTGAATAATAGACCAGCGTATTGTCCTTTTGGATGATAGATGATCAAGTTCCTTGCCAACTGCTTCTGGTGCTCTCCGTGTATTGGACAGAGAAAGCATGTTCCAGATCAGAAGCTGCATACCAGTTGCCAGAGGTTAGGTTGATTTGCTCTGGTAAGAAATGACGTCTGGAACAGCAGTGGCAGGTGAGGTTAGCACTCGATTGGGCTTACAGTAATGCACATTCTCCATACAGAACATACAGTAATGTTCTCCAAGACCCACTATCTGTACAGGCCAAAGAAGTAAAAGGAGATATGTTGAGAATCAGCACCCCTGCACCTTTGAAGTATTTGATGGTGGCATCGATCTCAAAGATGTCCAGAGGAATCTGGTATTTTTGTAGAGAGGGAGTCCTCCAAGGCCTTCACTTCCTTTCCCCACCATATAGTCCTTCCTGGCTCTCTGCCAGTTGCCAAGTGTGAAAAATAAGAAACAGCAGGGTACACACGGGATTATAAGCTAATGCTGAGTCGTAAAATACAGCATCATAACTGGTATGAGATGAGGCAGGTATTCCAACAAAAGCTTGGACATGAATGTTCCTAGCAGCACTATTCACAACAGCCAAAGAAGGAAGCAACCCAGATGTCCTTCAAGTGACGAACGGTAAACAAAGTACAGTATCCTGCAGAGTGGGATATTATTCAGCCGTAAAAAGAGAATGAAGGTCCATGCTACACCACAGACGAACCTCGGAGACCTGCTCAGTGAGAGGGGCCAAACCCAGAAGGCCACAACTCGTGTGGTTCCATTTATATGAAAGGTTCTTAGGCATGTGGATATTTGCCTGTGTAGACAAGTCCATTAGAGACAGAACGCAAATCAGGGGTTGCGGGGAAAGGGGGGGCGTGGGGAGTGACCGCTTAATAGGTGTGGAGTTTTCTTTGAGGATGATGAAAATGTTCTAGAACTAGATAGCAGTGATGGTTGCACATCACTAGGATTATATTAAATGCCCCTGAATTGTACACTTTAAAATGGCTAAAATGTAAAAAAAAATTTAAGATTTTATTTATTTATTTGACAGAGAGAGAGAGAGGGCACAAGCAGGGGGAGAGGGAGAAGCAGGCTTCCTGCCGAGCAGGGAGCCCGATGCGGGACTCGATCCCAGGACCCTGGGATCATGACCTGAGCTGAAGGCAGACGCTCAACCGACTGAGCCACCCAGGCGTCCCTAAAATGGAAATTTTATGTGCATTTTACCACAATAAGAAAAGATACATTCACAAAGGAAAGCCATCTAACATTTTGAATAGTATATGCCACAAAAAATGAAGACAGCTCCCAAACAGAAATTACCAACATACTTAAAAGTGGTGAGAACAGGAGACACCTGTTCGTTAAGCGTCTGCCTTCGGCTCGGGTCATGATCCCAGGGTCCTGAGATCAAGCCCCGCATCGGGCTCCCTGCTCAGCGGGAAGCCTGCTTCTCCCTCTCCCACTCTCCCTGCTTGTGTTCTCTCTCTTGCTGTGTCTCTCTCTGTCAAATAAATAAATAAAATCTTTAAAAAAAAAAAGTGGTGAGAACAAATACTCTTGGAGCTGTAGGATCTAGGTTGGTTATGTAGGGGAAGGCAGTGAACCTTCCTGTTTGAACACAAGGTCAGGAGACACAGCTGCAGCCCAGGCTTCTCTTCCTGTCTTGCCCAGAAACACATCCTGTAGGGCTGTTTGTTTCCTGCCTAGTTTAGAATTTAGTTCCCAAATCACTCTTCTCCCAAAAGAATCAACTGATTTCTCATCCCGTTTTGCACTTTCGCGTTACTGGATAGGTGGTCACCACAATCCATAAAAGCAGTCTTTTTTTGGTAGAGTCGTTCTGGCCCTACCCAGTACTAGTCTTACGAGCGCAGAAATGAGGACTTGAGTGGATATTCATGCAGCATTGAACAGCTATATGAACTTTAGCGCAATGTTCAGTGGTGGGCACTCTTTGTGTATTCCTCCATTCATCTAGGAGTGCCTTTTCTCCCATCCCATATCCATTATTACTTTGGTGACTGACAGCTTGGTGGAACAGAGCAAGCAAATAAATGCACCCTCTTCCCAAGCCTTCAGGAAAGGACTCCATAACCCTGGTTCTTTTTTTTTTTTTTTTTAAGTAGGCTCCACACTGGGCATGGAGCTCAATGCAGGGTTCAAACTCATGACCGTGAAATCAAGACCTGAGCCAAGAGTACGAATTGGACACTTCACTGACTGAGCCACCCAAGCGCCCCAACCTTGGTTCTTTTCATCCACTTCTCTCCCACACTGTAGCCATCGCAGCTACCCAGGGAAAAAGTCAGCCAGCGCCAGGCCCCCAGAGCATGACAGCTTAAAGCCACACATGAGTCTTGAAGGTGCTCTTACACAAGAAGTTTGTGCTGTACAAAATTGCAGCTGTGTCTTGGCCACAGGTTTTCATCTTGGAAACTTTTGCATCAGAACCTTGTAAGTCTTAACAGGGAGCATTGAGAAGTGTCTCCACAGTTGCTGAGTAACTGAAATCATGAACATGTGTGCTATATTATTAAGTTGACAATAGCAAATTCACCTTATTTAAACTTTGTCTCCTTGACGATGTTTCCTATTCAGCAAAACTTAGAACTCATTTATTCTTCTGTAACTTGAACTGGGTTTAAATTCTTTTCAAGTCAGAGCCTTCCTCCTTTTGGACCATTCAAAAATCAGACCTAAATGAATACCAGCCAATTTCCTAGTACATTTTTCTATTTTTAAGCACATAATCTAGCTTCTAAGGAGCAAACTATGACAGTCTTCTAAATATCAGTAATTAAAAACACTTGCGTGACCCTAGACTCACCTGGCTCCCTTACTTAGCAGAAACCCTGGGAGCCGTGGGAGGAAGAAGGCTGTTTCTCAGTGTGAGGAGAGAGCCTGCAGGTCAGAACTCATCCCCAGACTGTTGAGTCTTTACAGGGAAGCACATCCCTGGCCACCACTCTGGGTTCCCACTTGGAAGGAAGAGAAATGCTCAGTACTGGGTTAAGTCCCAGTTTCAGGGCTTCTCCACCATTGGGGTCATTCCTGCTTTCCCTCGTCTCCATAGGCATGCTCTTTGACACTTCGAGGAACTCAACTTAGTAGAGGAAGACAGACACACAAACCATTATAGTCCAGGGTAGCGAGGGTTATTTCAGAGTTAGGAACAGGGCACTACAGAAGAAACTAATGCAGCAGTGCCAGCTCTTGGTAAAGAGCCAAGATGTGTCATTTTGGCTCTAGTCACCTGCCTCTCCATATCAGTTAAAGTGCTTCTGGAAACAAGTAACTTTCCTACAAACTTCCCATTAGCCAGGGCCAACTCCCCCTCAAGGGCATGCCGATACCCTCACTAAAAGGGAGTGTGGGAATGTGGGATTTTGACATGGAGGTGAGCACACTGCCAACAGGAAGAAGTTATAAACTGACTGTTGGCTTGTCCCCAACTGTGTCTCCCCACCCCACACTAAGTATTTAAAATCCAAGGTGTGGGGGGCACATGGGTGGCTTAGTTAAGCTTCCAACTCTTGATTTCAGCTCGGGTCATGATCTCAAGGTCGTGAGATCGAGCCCCGTGTCGGGCTCCACACTGGACGTGGAGCCTGCTTGGGATTCTCTCTTTCCCTCTCCCAACCCCTCCCTCTCCCACCACCTCTTAAAAAAAAAAAAAAAAAAATGGATAAAATCCAAAGTGTGTACATAACTAAGGTTTAGGCTTACTGGCTCTTCGTTAGCCAGCTTTGTATATATAAAACATGTTATTAAGGAAGACCCTGAGTTTTTCCTCTCCATTTTAAGCCTCCTACAGAGACTCCTATAACAAACAGAATAATCATTTTCTAAATGGTAGGTGTCACGCACTGTGCCGGGGTGCTTTCTGTCTTATCTGTAATAATCCTCAAAACATGGTGAAGAAATTGGGTTTTCCTAATTTAAAAATGACGTAACTGAGTCTCCAAGCAGTTGAGTACCTTATTGAGGGTCCTACAACTAATGAACTGAATGTAGTTCTCGACTCCAAAGCATAGGTTCTTTTCACTCTCCAGATGTCACCAGAAGGGCTCGGCGGTCACTTGTGGGATGACGTACTTAGTGCCCAGAGTACTTGTCTCTCCTCGCCGTCTTCCCTGCTGTCTCCGTTCATGTGCTCTTTTCTTAGTGAAGAAAAAATGACTGCAGCCCGCATTAGAAAATGCCACAAGTGTGGGACTGGCCTCATCAAATCCGAAGGCTGCAACCGGATGTCTTGCCGCTGTGGTGCCCAGATGTGCTACCTCTGTCGAGTATCTATCAGTGGATATGACCATTTCTGCCAGCATCCTCGCTCACCGGGAGCCCCTTGCCAGGAGTGTTCGAGATGCTCTCTCTGGACCGACCCCACCGTAAGTGAATGCATGGCTGCCTGTTGCTTTGTAGGGGAAAATACTCGTAACTTACTGAAAGGGATTTTACGTATACATAACACATTGTGACTTATGAAAATACAGGAAATTACACGGACCAATAACCACAGGAAAAGAATGAGAAAGTAATCAGAAAGCTACTCCTCAGAAAAGCAGCATGCCCAAAAAGTTTATGGGCAAATTATTTAGAATAAAATTTTTCTTTGCCATCTGAAATAAGTCCCAGAGCATAGACAAGGAAAGATAGTTTTACATACAAGTTTGTATAAAGCCAGCATAATGCTCATCCCAAAAGAAGACAGAGATAACCCCAAAAAAAGAAAAATACAGATCCTTCTAACTTAATACAGGTTTTCAATTCTCTAAATAAAATATCAGCAAATAGAAACTATGACCAAGTGATTGGGGCACCTGGGTGGCTCAGTCGGTTGAGTGTCTGACTCTTGATTTCAGCTCAGGTCATGATCTCAGGGTCGTGGGATTGAGCCCTGAGTGGGGCTCCGTGCTCAGCAGGGAGTCTACGTGGGCTTCCCTCTCTCTCTCCCTCCGCCCCTCTCCCCCCTGCTCAATCTCTGTCTCTCTCTCAAATAAATAAATAAAATCTAGGGGCTGGCGCCTGGGTGGCTCAGGCATTAAGAGTCTGCCTTCGGCTCAGGTCATGATCCCAGGGTCCTGGGATCGAGCCCCACGTTGGGCTCCCTGCTCGGCAGAGAGCCTACTTCTCCTTCTCCAGCTCCCCCTGCTTGTGTGCTCTCTCTCGCTGTCTCTCTCTGTCAAATAAATTTAAAAAGTCTTTTAATAAATAAGTAATAAAATAAAGTAAAATCTAAAAAAAAAAAGAAAAGCCATAACAAGTGAGATTGTTCCAGAAATGCAGGGATGGTTCAATATTAAGAGTTTTATTAATGGGACGCCTGGGTGGCTCAGATGGTTAAGCATCTGCCTTCGGCTCAGGTCATGATCCCAGGGTCCTGGGATCGAGTCCCACATCGGGCTCCCTGCTCAGCAGGGAGTCTGCTTCTCCCTCTGCCTCTCTCTCTCTCTCTGTCTCTCTCTCTCTCTGTCTCTGTCCCTCATTATAAAAAAAATATTAAAAAAAAAAAGATAGGGCGCCTGGGTGGCTCAGATGGTTAAGCGTCTGCCTTCGGCTCAGGTCATGATCCCAGGGTCCTGGGATCGAGTCCCGCATCGGGCTCCCTGCTCCTTGGGAGCCTGCTTCTCCCTCTGCTTCTCTCTCTCTCTCCCTCTCTCTCCCTCAGTCTCTCATGAATAAATAAATAAAATCTTTAAAAAAAAAAAGTTTTATTAATGTAACTCACCATATGGTAACTTTAAATGGTAAAAGACGTAATAAAATCAAATATCTATTCTTGATTTAAAGTTTAAAGAATAGTACTAGAAGGATGATTTTTTTAAAACCCGTATTTCAGAACAGTCCTTAGCATGTTTTTAATAGTGAAATACATAGAAGCATTACCAAAAAATCAAAGAATATCACTGTTTTGTTTTGGAACTGCTAGTCAGTTCAGTTGGCTAAGAGAATAGAACATAATTGCCAGTGTTAATTAGGTATCCACTGTGTTTCAGACACTGTTCTAAGCACTTTTATATGTAATGAAGAAAGGGAAATCTATCATCTTCAGCGTGAGAAGAGACAGAGTAATCAACTGGAAAGCTATTAGAAGCAGTAGAAAGATGTCTAGATACAAAATAAATATAATGTCATTCACATTATATAGCAATATAAATAATAAAATATTCTAGAAATTAACTTTAACAAGAAATATGAAAAAAAACTATGTTGAAGGACATCAAGAGATGTGAACATACAGAGAAATAATGCTTTGTTCTTAAGTTTTAATATAAACTGTATCAATTCTTCTTAAAATAATTTTTAAGTTTGAAACTCTCCTGTAAGGATAGCAGTGCAGTATGTGCCAGGATTTGTTCTACCAAAAAGAATGAGCATAAGTGAAAACCCTGCTAACTTGGAGCAAACAGAAGGCCTGAGGAAGGACACCAAAGCCCCCTGGAGGCCTGGTGACAGCTTTCCCCGAGGACAAGGAAGATGACCTGATCATGGAGAAGCCTCTTGTCCCTCAGAGGGAAGACTTGGTATTGCAGATATATCACTTCAATCTAAAATCTAGACATTTGCTGCAGTTCCCTTTGAAATTCAATAGGGCTTTTTTTTTCCTTGAAAAATTGCCTCTAATTTTGAAAATGAGACTAATTTTTACTAAGCTACACTAATCAAAACCATGTAGGCTAATAACTAGATCAGAGGGACAAAATGGATTGGAGATCAGAAACACATTAAATGAGAATTTAATGTCTGATAAAAATAACTTTTTTAAAAAATTTTATTTAAGTAATCTCTACACCCAATGTGGGTCTGAAATTCATGACCCCAAGATCAAGAGTTCTGTGGTCTTCTGACTGAGCCAGCCAGGCACCTCTAAAGATACTTAAAATCACTTGGAGAAATGATAGATTCATCCGTTCTTTTATTCTTAACTATTCAGTGTTGCCAGGACTAGTCTAAGCAGAAAAGCGCTGTCATCGTGGAGTTTGCACTCTGAAACAGGTCCTTTGTCTGGTTAGTGTTGGGGAGGAGCAATGAGAGGGGGCTGGCCCAGGGGAGGGAGGAGGCTGCCTTCGGATGGAGTGGCCTGGGCGGGCTCTTTGGGAGGCAGCATTTGCAGAGAGGCCTGCCTGAGGAGGAGGAGGGGTGCCTGGGTGGCTCAGTCGGTTAAGCAGTCGACTCTTGATTTTGGCTCAGATCATGATCTTGGCGTCCTGGGATCAAGCCCTATGTCGGCTCCTAGCTCAGCCATGGAGTCTGCTTGTGGGTTCTCTCTCCTCCCTCTACCCCTCCCCCTGCACATGCGTGCTCTCTCTCTCTCTCTCGCTCTCTCTCAAATGCATGAAAAGATTTACACATAGGGGCACCTGGGTGGCTCAGTCGTTTAGCGTCTGCCTTCGGCTCAGGTCATGATCCTAGGGTCTTGGGATCGAGCCCTGCATCAGGCTCCCTGCTCAGCAGGAAACCTGCTTCTCCCTCTCCCACTCCCCCTGCTTGTGCTCGCTCTCTCCTTCTCTCTGTCAAATAAAATCTTTAAAAAAAAAGAAAAGGGCACCTGGGTGGCTCAGTCGTTAAGCGTCTGCCTTCGGCTCAGGTCATGATCCCAGGGTCCTGGGATCGAGTCCCACATCGGGCTCCCTGCTCAGTGGGAGGCCTGCTTCTCCCTCTCCCACTCCCCCTGCTGTGTTCCCTCTCTCACTGTGTCTCTCTGTCAAATAAATAAATAAAATCTTAAAAGAAAAGATTTACACATAGAATACGGACAGCGTGTAGCTGGAGTCACAGACCCAAGTTACCACAGGGATAAATAGTAACAAATAATTGGTGAGTGTAAATTGGGCCCGATCTGGGGCAGTAAGGTATGGTGAGGACTGTGGCAAACTGGAGAGGGTGTAGGCCCTGTCCAAGGCTGCTAATCTGTTCCCAGAGATTGTCGCCAGGTGAGAGTGTACTCAGGGTTACCATGGCTTCAGATTCTCCAGAGAAGGTGGAAATCTGGACTTTAGTTTGGTATCTCCTGATTTTTAAAGATTGGACATTAATCCAAGTATCTTTAAAACATGTTTCATGTGGGGCGCCTGGGTGGCTCAGTCGTTAAGTGTCTGCCTTCGGCTCAGGTCATGATCCCTGGGTCCTGGGATTGAGCCCCGCGTCAGGCTCCCTGCTCAGCCAGAGTCTGCTTCTCCCTCTCCCCCTCCCTCTGCTTGCGTTCCCTCTCTCGCTGTGTCTCTCTCTGTCAAATAAATAAAATCTTTAAAAAAATAAAAAAATAAAACATGTTTCATGCCAGCACTTTATAAGCCAAAGCATAGGTCGTTAGTCATCAGACTTTACCCCTGGTTTCGAACATCTCCGATATGCCTAACAAGAGGAGGTGTCGGGTAACAGGCCGTCCTCTGTGTGAGAACCACAGCAAACCTCTCCTGGCCTAACCCTAATCCTGGGAGCTCCCAGTTTTGAAAAGCAGTGGGTCCTCAATGGAAACCAGGTGTGTGCGTGTCAGGAACTACCTCCTCACCGGGCAGAAAATTGGGCTGAGGGACCCAGGAATTGCTCTTATTCAGCAGCTCTGCCACCCACTGAGAGTCTCAGCAAGCCTTCCTCCGTGCCCCCCAGCACACCCCCAATCGCTGTAGGAAAGGGTAGACTTTGTAAACAGACAGGTCATCCTTCTGTTGTTGGTTTGGTTCAGTGGAAGGAGGTACAGTCTGCGGCGGCAAGTGCTCACCAAGGTAACGCACACCGCCTTTTAGGACAGACCTTCCCCGCACCTGGCAGTTCTGTGGACTCACTTCCTCAGTGCTGTGCAGCCAACATACCCAGGCTCGAGCATCTCTAGGATTTACATGAGGAAATAGGATTCTTTTTCTTCAGCGGCATCTCCTACAAAGGTCTCCCCTCCCCCTGCCCCGCTCCCCTTCCCACGTTGCCTTCCAGAAACAAAGAGCTGAGTGGAGTTACACACCAGAAGGTGTTCAGCTGCTGGTCTCTCCTCGGCCGGTGCTGTTTTCCTTTCTCTTCCCGCTCATTCTTGTTCCTTCTCCTGCCGCCTCACTTTTCCCTACTACACATGGAATGGGTTAAAAGTTTTTTGTGTTCTGTTACCTTGTTTGGGTGCTGTAGCATGCCACTGCCCCCTTGTTGTTGAATTGTCGTCTTCCACCCTGAGAAGGGTTCTGTATTTGCTCAAAATAAAGTTCAAAAGGAAGGTCAGGCAAATACAAATCCCTCCGATTTCCTCAGGCAGCCACAGCCAGAGATTTGGTTCCATTTGTCCCATTCCCATCAAATCTGGGATCAGCCCTGTTTCCTTGATTCTCACCAGGAGACTGATTGGATTCCAAGCCAGCATCTGTTGGGGCTTCTGAGAACACAAAGCCATTCAGAAGTTCAG